TTGATGGGTCGCATGTTGGCACGGCTGGTTGGCAATGTTGGCTTTATGGGCCACAAAGTTGTCAATCGGTTTGGACGACGACAAGCCTGTCGCTTGTCTGATGTCCGCCAGAACCGAAATCCAACTAAAAGTTTATTCAACTTTACCCACTGGATACAAGCCGAAACTTGATTCTACTGCCTTTGTCAATGATGACACTGGTATTCTTTACATGCAGCTCATCGGCATTCTCCGCTGGCTTGTGGAACTTGATCGTATCGATATCGCCGCCAAAGTTTCTATGCTCTTGTCCTACAATGCAATGCCTTGTGAAGGTCACTTTCATGCTGCCTTACATATTTTCGCCTATTTACAGAAGCACCCTGATCATATACTTGTGATGGATTGTAATTATGCTGATCATTGTTGGGATATGACGAAATATGAGTTTTTACGTTCCAAGAAAAACTATTCAAGTACGCAATTTTTGACATGCACGATCGGATTTTGATCGTGATGTCGGGATTCGACGCAAGTCTGCCGGACAATCTATATCCACACGAAAAGGGAAAAACCCAATACAAGTGGAATATTGATGTTGTGTACGATACAGTAGGGAATAATACAAGATGTCCCAAAGTACTGCATTCGACACAGAATCCTGGTAGAAGCCGAATCGAGTTCTGTAAACAATACCACTGTGTGTTATCGCTCATGTATTCCCATGCAGAACCTGAAGACTGAACCTGTATTTGAAGCATTGGATAAAGTTTTCCGCCGCTACAATAAGGCAGGCTTTCAAGTCAAGACGATCAAGTGTGATCGGGCTTTCATCCCTCAGACGGATGATATTCTAGATGATATGGGTGTTACTATTGACCCGACTGCAGCTGGAGACCACGAGCCTACAGCTGAGCGAAACAATCGAACGCTGAGTTAGAGTAGCTCTTGCACGATTACCCTACAAAGTGGTACCAAAGGTGATCACTGAATGTCTTGGACGTCGAGCCGCCGAGCTACAGTATTGAATGTCTTTCCCCAGAAAGACAGTATTTCATCACATTTCAGTCCGCAGCAACTCATTGATAATGTCAATATCAACTACAAGAGTGACATGGTTGCTGAGCTTGGACAGTATGTTCATGCCATTGGGACGGAGTCCAACAATTCATTGGAACCACGAAGTATTGAAGCGATCTACATTGAACCTACAAAGGGACAACGTACTGGGCACGGAGTGCTCAACCTCAATACTAAGAAGATGATTTCTCGACCCAAGGTTGTCATACTACCCGTTACCGATCAAGTAATCCAGCGTATTGAACCTTGGGCTGCTACCGAAGGTGTTTTCAAGATGGCGATCAAATTGCAGGAGTGGATGACACGGAACAAGGTTACTTAGAAGAAGCCTTTGATCAGGACTATGATCCTGAAGATGAAGATGAACGTGATTTCGACCTACGTGGACAATTCGATGATATCGATTACTCCAAAAGAAATGAGCTCTTGGCAGATGCAGACAATGATGTCGATGATATGCCGGAATGGCCTTCGAGCAGGAGTGGCAGTTCTGTCAATAATAACAAGAATCGAGTTGCGACAAGACACAAGTATCGAGAGAGGGAAATGAAACCATTAAAGGACAAGTTAAAGTCTTCGTACCAAAGAAGGAAGTCGCAGTATTATAGATAGAAAAGCTATCCTTGAAGCAAAGCACAATAGATTGGGAATGAGATGAAAGCTGGTTATCAAAAGCACGACGCTATTCTGGTCGCTCGTTGTATGATGCAGATCAAGGCAAATGTCAGATAATCAACTCCGTAGCTGTAATGAGAGCCTCAACGCTCTAGCCACCTCTGGAGTATACTGAGCTCGAATCTACGTCGGCTATGGATTGCCTACAATAGGAACAGGTGCCAGTGATGCTGGGCTTCTACCTGCGGGTGAACACTCTCACCACTTCCTATTAGATCTTATTCTACTGCTATTCTTGCCAGAAGTCGATCAACAATGATCTCCACAAGCAGGTATAAAAAATCTCTTCCGGAAGCCATCTGCGTCAGCTCTCACCAGCTGTTGCGGCGTATAAAGCACATACGCACATGTCCAAGTTCGATATCACGAATGTCCGACTTCACTGTCCGACATGTTCGACTGTTCTTTTATCTATTAAGATCCCATTTCAACAACACACTCCTGTCGTTTCGACGACTCCAGTTGCGATAACGAATCCTTGCTTCATTTAATATGTAACGTGTATATATAACCGACGACGGTCATATCTAATCTTCCTGATCCCCTTGGATCAATGCCCGAAACTTGCGGAACTTTTCCCCTTGCAAAGGTTTCGTCATATATTCCCCCCACATGTCATCGGTCGGCATGTGTTCGATCGTAAGATTTCCTTTCTCAACCTGATCAGTGACAAAGAAAAAACGCATGTTCAATGCGCGGCTTCTCTTCCCTGCACTTGATCTCCCGTTCTTTTCGAGGAGAATAGAGCTCATATTGTCTTGATACAAGAGATTTTTTGTACCTGCTTGTGGAGATCATTGTTGATCGACTTCTGGCAAGAATCGCAGTAGAATAAGATCTAATAGGAAGTGGTGAGACTGTTCATTCGCAGGTAGAAGCCCAGCATCACTGGCATCTGTTCCTATTGTAGGCAATCCATGGCCGACGTAGATTCGAGCTCAGTATACTCCAGAGGTAGCTAGATGCCCTCAGATTTCGGTACCATAGCAACGAAGCCTGTAACATCCCATAAATAGCACGGAGGATCACAATATAGATCACTCGACGTCCATTTTCGATTACTACAAAATCCCGATACGTCGGATCTAGGTCAATCATGTAATCAACCAGCAGTCCAGTAATTTTCATTATTACTCGATCTTCTCCTTCTTCCTGCTCG